CTCTTGCTACTGACCTGCTACTCTGCCACTCTCGCTACTCATCTGTTACTCTGCCACTCTCGCCACTCACCTGCTACTCATTTACTGGTCATGCCACGCACTTACCATCACCAATCATCCACCACTCTTTGATGGTACGGACAACGATCACGCTGGGCACTGGAAATTTCGCTTATAACACAAACGATAACAATACGTCATAACCACACAAACAATAACAGTATTTCATAAAAATACGAAACATGAACGATAACAGTATGTTACAGCAACATGGGACACAAAGTTTTTAACAAACACTTACCTTATATTCCTTCTAAAGAATTTCATGAAACTACAATACTAAAAGCCACAATTGTTAGAAGTGTTGTATGATAAATCCTGTTCATTATCAACAAGTAAGAAGGTTAAGGTGAATAAGTTTGCTTGACGACACTTTGAGAGCACCGAAGCAGCGGTTAAATTAACCTAACTAAAGAAATAAGATCAGAAGAATCTGCTTCATTCCAAAGCATCTGTTCTTGTTGTCTTGATGCTGCGTTTTGATTGTTTTCAGCCTCCGTAACAACATCCCGCCTGACTTCTTGAATCGAACCACCTAAGAAACAGTTCATTCTTGTGTTAACTTTGTCATAGCCGTTTTGCTCCGTGTCAGTTCATCTCCAGCACTGCACCAATAAACTTGTCTCACATCCTTCTGTCGTATCTTAGCCTCTCCATAACCTTGGTGTACTTAATTATCCTAGAAGTTCCGGCTTTCTACCTTCGGGACCTCTACACCTCCATCTTGAACAAAACTTTTTTCTCTTCTTGTACAGAGTTAATACGCATTAGAAATTATTAGTTCATGTGCTTAATAATTATAAATCTATTGAACTTTAGGCTCTACCTGCTATCTGTTTTCCTCTCATCTGAGTAGAGGCATGAATTAATTACGTGGAGCGTCTGGGACAACAACAACAACATTGACACATATTGTCACCGGAAAACTATCCCCTCCTACAGTTTTGAAGCTACAGCGATGAGAGATATACCATTCGATTTGCAAATAAAAGATCTAGAGATTGATCGTAGTTTTTTTCTATTTCGTTATAATTTGAAAATATTGTGAAAAAGGAGGACAAATACGGGAAATCGAAAAATGTTCGAAAATTTTATGAAAAATGTCCCCACACCCACAAAACTTTGAATTTCGAAAAAAGCTACGACGAATCGATTGATATGGTCTTTACGCATCGCATGAAATGCGTCTCGATGTTGTAGCTTGAAAATCCTAGGAGGAGATAGATTTCTACAGTACATCCTTTTTGGCCGCTTTCTAAGAATTTCGCACTTTCTTTCATTGTTTCGAAAAAATTACACAAGCAAAAAAGTCTTAGATTTATGTTTACATATATGCACCAAGTTTAAAAGTGATCCGTCCGTAAATAAAAAATTTTATCTGGGATCCAGACGCTCACCGTAACTCGACCAGACCAGCCGTAACTGTTAACCAGACGTAGTTAACAGGAATATCGCTGGGCTCGTTTAGTATAACAGATCGCAATGCCTATCCGAATATAAGCTCAAAGAGATGAGTGGGACTTGTCCAAATAGCGATGTACTTCTCTCTCTTGTGGGGGTCCGCCTGATTAAATTAGGCCCAAGAAATTGGCGAATTAGTAAGACACCGTGTCTATTTATTATATATAACCCGCTCATTTATATGGTTAAACGGCAGTCGTGTGAGCATTCGGGCACTGCAAACCAACTTGCAAAAAAATATTCCCGCACAACATACGATTAGAGAACAATCAGTATAACTAATTGAAAAACTGACGGTGTTATTAAAGTTAACAGTTAAAGTTAACAAAAACAATCTGCTGCCTTTGGCTCCACTTTGTTTCAGGACAAAAATGCAGCAACATACTCATGAAATTTTATCTGGATTTAAAGGTCCACTTTGTTACAAGACTGTCTGACGGAAAGCCGAAGAGATTAATAAGACATAAGAGGGAGATAGGGCTATTACAATAATTAAGGGGAGATAGGGAGATAGAGCTAGTAAAATTAGTTGGCATAATTACTCCCATATTAATTGCACGTAATGTTTTGGACGCCATCGTCAAGCTATTAATTCAAGACGTCCAACGTTCTGGACTGCGTTGAACGTCCAAGAAGTTGGTCATCTTCGGTAACCCGGAGAGAAAAAAAACATATCAAGAACGTCTTCTAACCTTCTATAACTTAGGGGTTGCCAAATTAAAAAATATTAGAGATTATGAAGGATGAAAAGTTGTTTGTTTCGTACGAACGCTACGACGCAGGCCATCGGGGGACGCGTGGACGCGACAGATGAACAGGAGCGCAGCGTGCTTCTCCGCCCTGGTTGTTAGAGGCTGCCTTCTCAGGAATGAAGGTTGCCTTCTTCTAATAATACTAACTAACTAATATAACTAATTATTTTTATATTAAAATCTCAACATAGTGTATTCTCTATGAAATAAGATGCGTAGGAGTAATTGCACACGACGTTGTTTAAAAATAATCATATAGCATATCATAAGCGTCAGTTCAAGTGAGCTTCGGAATGATAGCGGACATTTGGATCCATTCTAAGTATTTTAAAATCTTACGACTTGAAGATGGCTTTGCTTTGCATGAGCTCCGCACTGATGGCATGCACAGCAATACGTATACTAAATTATAAGTACTTGATTATAGGGCCCATAAACTGATCGTAACTTACGTTGGTGTTCGATGGGTCTTTAACGGGACAAAATTGCGATACTATATACGGACACGTTGGTAGGTCATCTGTCAAAATTTTGATTCCTGTCTGCCGCTGGCTCATGGACGCCCAACTCGCCTAGCGGTGTAAATTAGCGCGCGGAAAAAAATTTTCGGTTTCATCATATTATGCCAATAAAACATTTACCAAGAAAACACCTGATGTAATTTAAATTTCTCTGAAAGCCTTCTGAAGACATGCACACTTGTTAGCACTCTCATTCTATCACGTCCGGACAGTGATTAGTTTTCAATGGGGATCTTAACTTATAAATAGCGTCTTCATATATATATATCTCGGTTTCTGACGACAAAAAAAAAATAAAATACGGACTTGAAACTTCGGTACAGAGTAGGATACAAGAAATCAATGCGATTGTTCAATAATTTAAACACTACGTATTAATGTCAAAATTTCCCGTTAAGGGGAGAGAAAATGCTATACCTTGAGGAAATAGCCTGTTAGTTACAGATTAAAGATTATCGAGAGTTACTCAGAACCTTCAACTTGATGAGGTATAAGTCCTTCTTCCTACATGAGCTTGCAAAAACAAAGTGTACCAGTTGGCTCGAGCGAGCCCGTCATTAATTAACAGTCGGAGAGTGATTCAGTAATGCACTTGTATTTTCTACCCATTCACCATATTTCATATCACAGATGTATTACATGCAATGAATGCAAGTAATACATCGTTGCTTCTTTTCAACAATCATTAAGTTTATATGAGATCTTATCACTTCTCCTTAACATAGCGTAATCCCCGGGGCAGATCCGGTAACGTCTGAGCGCAGAGCGCAGAAGATGCCATCCTTTCAGTCCGTGGTTTGCCGTTCATGCTGTCAGTACATCGGCTGTTGACTATATTTAGTGACTAAAACTGCGTACATGGGCTTATAAGTAGATACTTGAAATGAGTACAAAGGTATGCGAAATGTCTACGCTGAGAGGTCGTCTCGTCTTTCTGCACATTCTGTGGTCGACTGTAATTCTGTTGTCGGATGCCGATGGCCAAACTTCCGCACAGCAACGCGCTCCGACCGTTAGCGCCGTTAATCAATGTCTTGCCAGCGTCGTAACCGCGCTGGACGTCATCGGCAATCCTCGTAGCGATCGCGATATCAGCGTCGATAAGTTTACCCCGCAGCAACAACGAACTTACGAGGAACTTCAGGAACTTGCGGATGTTTTGAGGACTGAAGCCAGCGGCAGCGAGAAGAAGTCGTCAGTTGTGAATGTGGAGAGGACCTGATGGCTTATCGGCGGTGCATCGTTGAAGGTGGCGAGTCTGCCCCGCCCGGCGTTGGCACTACTCCAGCGGTCATTACATATTCGATTATTTTGAAATTGGAGTTTCAGATATTCGATTTCATATTACGAACATCCCTCGCATAGTCCCCAAATTTATAATAATTTGTAAATTACTGATTCGTTTCACTTAATCAATACCATTATTTGGGAAATCATTTCAGTTTTCAATTCTTCGGCTACAGAGAGCTAGGGCCAGCCAGGCCGCATCAATTAAGCCAAGGCAGCGTAGTTTCTGCACATCAAGAGTGATTGCTGCCAAAGCCAAGGCATTATTAACGCCACTTTGGCTGGGGATAAAAAGCGTGCAGCATTCGTAGCCTGTGGAATTTACTTAATTTATCTGTGGATTTGTCGACTGAACAAGAAATCCTATACAATGACGAAAAATAGACTAGTTTAGTAAGATTTTGACAACGATAAATAACCATTACAAAGCAATATGTAAGAGTACAACAATATACTAAATAATAAGTACTTGATCATAGGGCCCATAAACTGATCATGACTTAAGTTTGTGTTCGAGTGATCTTTAACGGACAAAATTGCGATACTACGGACAAGGTGGTAGGTCATTTGTCAAAGGGGGCTCTGAGATTTCTGAAAGCTGACAGGTATGATAGACCCAGACGCCGCCAAAACACCGAGTAGATGGATCTCGGTACAAATTCAATGGTCAATTAATGTGTTTTTGATAATATACCTACTATATATATTCTCATAGTATACATACCTTCTATGTACACTATGAGAATAAACCTACTATTTGTACGAACAGCCAAATAAATCTGACTTCACTTGGTTTTGGAATTCACTTCGGACGCAATTATATTTTCAGGACTGGGCGAACGAAAAGTGGTGATCAGAATGTTAAAATCAAGCTCATTGAAACTAATTAAAAAATAATGCTAGTTATTCACCATTCAAGGGGCCACTAACTTCTGAGCTGCCACTTACTTCTGACCCACCACTTACTTCTGAGTCCACAATCATCTCACAGTCCAGCACCATCAAACCTCATCAGAAGAAGGTAGATAAATATAAATGAAAGGTGAAATATGTGAATATTATTAGAATGCTCTTGTTTGAAATATTTAAACAAATAATTTCATTTGAATCTTTGAATTTATAGGTCTTGAAATCATCCCCCATCACTAATTGTACAAGTGGCAATATATTTCAGATTTCACTCGGTTTTCTTCTCAACTTCGTACTCAGTTATTATTTCCTGTCCGGTCAATCGAAAAGAGTTTATCGATATATTGAAATCCAAATCTTGAAATTCAACTAAAAGTTTGTCTCAATTATTCACTTTCCAGGTGCCTCTCACTCCCACGGATTGTTCGGAGCGGCCGGAGAAGGCATCGGGCGTGTACATCATCTACCCCAGCGGCGTGGACACAATCTACCCAACTGCCGTCCAAGTTTACTGCGACCAGACGACGGACGGCGGCGGCTGGACGGTCTTCCTGCGGCGCCAGAAGCAGGAGCCTCAACTCAACTTCAGTCGAACCTTGGGAATGTTGGGTACACAGGGAATGTTGGGGTACACAGGGAATGTTGGATACACAGGGAATGTTGGGTACACAGGGAATGTTGGATACACAGGGATTGTTGGGGTACACAGGGAATGTTGGGTACACAGGGAATGGTGGATACACAGGGAATGTTGGGTACACAGGGAATGTTGGATAGACAGGGAATGTTGGTACACAGGGAATGTTGGGTACACAGGGAATTTTTTTCCTATGTAAGTTTCGCTCAAATTATGAATGAATGAATTTTTATATATCCGCGTGAGTCTGAGATATACCACTAAGCCTAATAGTTTTAAATATATCAAATGTTAGCTTTACGTGGAAAAAATCTTAATGTTATCCAGCTCAATGATCCTCATGTGGTATTATGCGAGTAATTTGATCCACCAGAGTGGAAGGCGGTAAAAATTACACGCTGAGGGTCGGCGGCTTCGACAACGTGAGCAGCTCTGCCTACGATGCCCTCACCTACCACGACGGCATGCAGTTCTCGACCATCGATCGTGATCGTGATTTGAAACATGGTGAGATCGAGCAAAGTTAGGCTGGCTTATCTGCACATATCATCAACATTCAATAAATCATGAACATGCCAAGTATGCCCCATACTCTCACCCACCACGTCACACACCAGCACTACCGCGTGAGTGAAGGCACTGAAAACACGAGATAGGATGAATAGGTGGAATAGGATAATTGTGAAGGTATCGGGTACTGGTAATGATCGCTAGTGTATTGTGCATTGTGAAGGTATCGGGTACTGGTAATGATCGCTAGTGTATTGTGCATTGTGAAGGCATCAGGTTAAAAAATCCGTGCTTTATCAATGGCGAGGTCAATGATGAATATGCAGGACACAAGTCAACTCTTTTTTCACTCTATGATTTACATGTAATTTAATATAAGTAACATATACAAATTTATTCTTTCAAATGAACACAATCAGCATTTAAGGCTTAAAAAAACTCACAACATCAGTACAGAGATTTCACGAAAAAAGTCTTATTATTACGTCCTATGACGCACACCTGACGTAAGATGGCGCCAGGATCAGTGTCTGTTTGCCGCATTACATTTCACGGAAGTAAACTGCAGATCATCGTCAAATTATCTGTAGCAAAACTCATCATGATACAGTGAAAAAACTTCATTCAACTTCTTGCCAGGAATTTCGCCGAGTTGTAACTATAGATAAACCGCCGTGTCATGACTTGCTCTTTTTTAAAACAAATAATTGCCTAAAAATAAATGGCTTACCGGTACCAATAATGAACTTAGGATCCTAGCTTAAGAATATAACAAAAGTTGTTAACAAGTTATATAAAAGTGACCTTTGAATGAGAGCTACTTAACTGTGATGTCCAAGTCGGATTAACTAAATGCAGTCTCGATTCTTCAGGAGGAAGCTGCTCGCGAGGGCTCGGTGGCGGTGGCTGGTGGTACAACGACTGCTATAAAGCGAACCCTACAGGCGTGTACGGCGGCGACAGTCCTGCCGAGAAGACCACTGGAGAGTTCTTGGTCTGGAGAGTTGTCTACCAGAAGCACGTCACTCAACTCACCCTCATGATCAGACCAAAGGATTAATATGTACAATATGATGGATTATGTGGCATATGCTCAAGGACATGCAGGAAGTGCTCCGGGACATGTAGGGCATGCTCTAGGCATGCAGGAAGTCCTGTAGGACATGTAGGGCATGCTCTAGGCATGCAGGAAGTCCTGTAGGACATGTAGGGCATGCTCTAGGACATGCAGGAAGTCCGGTAGAACATGTAGGGCATGCTTTAAGACATGCAGGAAGTCCTGTAGGACATGCCGGAAGTCCTGTAGGACATGTAGGGCATGCTCTAGGACATGCAGGAAGTCCTGTAGGACATGTAGGGCATGCTCTAGGACCTGTCTCTTATACACATCTAGATGTGTATAAGAGACAGCCTGACGACCAGGAAGATGGTGGAGATGAAGGCCGTGATCGTCCGAGGAGTAAACCGCACCAGCGCCCGCTACCTGGACTTCAAGTGAGACATGCCCCGTGGTTGTAGCTTAGAGGGAGTGTTGGGGTACAGAGGGAGTGTTGGGGTACAGAGGGAGTGTTGGGGTACAGCTGTCTCTTATACACATCTAGATGTGTATAAGAGACAGGGATAGCTTTTCGGAGGTCTCGGGAACGTTATTACTTGATAACGTACAAGATATAAATTTTAATTATATATTGTTGAATATCCAGCGACATCTTATTTGAACACTGCAATGCATTTTACTGAATTATGGCAACCTGGGGTTGAAGGCCCAATGTGCTTGACACAATTTGGACGAATTACTCTTCTATAAATAAGCAGAAATTGCTTTGAAGGGTTGGAGAGACGAAAAAATAGTAAGTATTTGGGAAGGATTTGATGCCTTGTAAAATAAGAAGAATTGATTTGTGATTAGGTTTAACAGCTGCGCAATTTTAGTAGGAAAATTAACCACAATTAAGGCGCTGAATATTTTTATTTGCCTATCAGACATCCTGCAAAGGGATTCACAAGACTGCAACCCAGACTTCTCCGAGGAATTTTCCACGTTTGCTCCACTACACGTCTGTAGACAGAATTCATGATAAGCTGCAATGCCTGAATGGAAAATGTTCAATGTGCTTATGAAGCATTTCGAATTTGCTAGAGACAATTTTGAATTAGAATTCCAAATATTTAATGTCAAATGACCGAAGTCGTTGAAGGATTCAAGGGGAATATACCCCAAAAATTGGCAAAAAATTGCTTTTTGTTTTCTGATCTCATTTGTAGATGTGGAAAAGATGCATCTAACGCAACAAATTAAACCGTATGTTGTGCGACATTTTTGTGCGTGCTTCAGTTAGTGCGCGGGCTGTATCTAATCTGTGAAAACTTAGAATTTTTCCTTAATCGGTACCAAAGATTTTTTGAAAAAATTATTTATAAATTATTATTCGCGTTGAACTGAACATTAAGTCCCGTGGCGTATGATGGTACCCTCAATGGGTTGCATGTTAGAGGCCAGCATTGCCAAACCGTCATCACTTTCATATTCTTCCCGTGCACAAGCATGCTACTGAGTAGATAAGCCTTTGAACTTACTTGCTCGGAGCCATAGGCGCCATAAGCCAGCAGCCCCTGCACCAGCCAGTATAGTCTTCACGGTATCTACACCCCAGCACGCGTCGTCCTCCACACTTGCCTCTACTCTACACCGGAACAAACCTTTCCGGACCTAACTTAACCTCATTGGCTGCAGGAAGGTGCCGAAGCGGGCAAGATAGGGGACTGAAGCCGGTCGGCTGCAGCAAGGTGGGGAGGCGGGGTAAGTGTGGAGGTATGCGCATGCTGGGGTGTAGATGCCGTGGGTACTATACTGGCTGGAGCAGTGGCAGAATGCACACAGCGTCTCTGGCTTCAAAGCAAAAGACGAGATATTCCAGAAGAAAAGGATTCTAAAATTCGTTACTCTGAAGCATGTTGCTGTTGTAATTGCCCATCCTGGTAGTGTAGTGGTGACTAGGGAGGGGGGGGGGTGATAGGTCAGTTTTCCCGGGCACTTAATGCCACTGGTAGTTGTTGTACGACCATCACTGGCTCGCTGACCTGCCAGAACCATTTTATTGCAATACACAACACCATGGACAAGCCAGGTACTCATTTATCAACCAGAGTTTGATGAATGGCTGAGTTGACCATGAGCTGCGCTTCCCGGAATAACTTGTCCTCAGTGGGACTCGAACCCGAGAGCTGGGTGCGTGAGACGGTCTCTCACCACTGCACCACCGCAGCTTAGAACGGAAGTATTGGAAGTGGAAGCTGAAATCAAGTTGCTATCGGATACTGACAGGTTTCACTACTCGGCTTCAGGGCGCTCAGCCGAGTGAGAGAAACACGTTAGTAGATGGCCAGGACACCAACTTCCATTATGCTCCAACAATCTAGAATAAAGATTGAGCTACATCATAGCAATGAACGCTGATGCGCATCGCGCACAACTGTATTTTAGAACTGGAGACGATCGCATATGAAAAAATGAAATATCTCTGAACTCATGAAAGAACTGACATTAAAATTATACACTCAGAAGACATAAAGATTTACACTTAGAAATTACGAGTATATAACGTAGAAAACTTTTAATTTTTCTAATATAATTCCGGAGACAGGGAACGATGTAAAAAAAGTAAATAATATTCCTATTACCGTGCTCCGAAACAACATTGTAGCGATCTGACATGAATTTCTTAATTTGGGTGAACATCCCAAAAAATTCGGAAACTCATTTTTGCGAGAAAATATTGTGCAAAAATCCAAATTCCACGTGCACAGCATTGAATATAGAAAAAATGCGAAAGTCATGGAGTTATAGTGTTTGAAGTACTTTCAACTTGAATCAAAATGAATAAACGCTAAAAAAAAGCTGGTACATGAACGGTGAATATCGATTTGCTCAAAACAGAAGTCTAAAGTCAGCCATTAGCTTTAGTAATATTTCAATCGAGAAAAGAAACCCTATTGTTATATTTGAGCTCCATTTTGAATTTGATTGACTAATATAGAAAGTGTTGGAAAACGAAGAAAAGGCTTATCATTAACTGAAGTCCATCAAATTTACTATGGAGCTTGAATCTAACAATGGTTTGCTCTTTTTCGATTGACATGACACTAAATATAATTCCGGTTTCAGCCATCTATTTACGAAAATCGACTTTTACCGGTAACAGTACCAGCTTAATTAGCTTATCTTCGGTCGACTTTGAATGGGATTTAAATCCTTACCAACCACAACTTCAGTATTTGTTCGACATTCCATGCTATGCAAGCTGAATATGAATTTTCGAGCAATATCTTCTCGCCAAATGAGTTTTACTCATACAGGGTGTTTACCCAAACCTAGAAATTCATGTCCAAGTTATTCAGTGAGGTTGCTCCAAAAGGCCAAAATAGGAACGTTGTTTCCTGCTCCTTTCCCTTCTTTGACCCTCCATGAGAAACTAGGTTGAAAATGAAAAGATTTGTTCATGAAATACTATTCGAATATTAATCTTTATGTTTTGTTCGCGCATAATTTTAAAATCGGTTCTTTCATTAGGTACAAAGAAAGATACTCTCACTATCCATATGCGACCGTCTCTAAATCATAAATACAGTTGTGGGTGATACGCATCTGCGTACGTCTGTATGACGTCACGCAATCTTTCTTCAAGAGAGACAGTGCATAAAGAGAGAAGTTAGGACTGGCCATTCGCTCGCGAGTCCTCCTCATTCTGCTGTGCGTACTCACGCCGAGCAGTGTAACATTCAAATATCTGAATGACTTTTGATTTTAGCTAACACTTCCGATGTTTCGGATTTCCAAATTTTGGAACTCTTATATAGGTTTAAACAGAGTCCGGTTTGAATGCAGCCTCTAGTTCTTTTCCACTGGAAATTGTGATTAGATAGGTTCCGGCTGTCTTATTGCTTGCTAATCTTCTAGAAGTAAATTTCTGAATTTACTTCTGTTTTTAGAATTTCAACCGTACTAACAACTGAATACGTCTGTGTATTAGAATTTTTAAATGACGATAAAGTTGGGCGTTTAAATTATCTACTTAACTTTGGGGCGTTGAAATTTGCACACATGTTAATAGTGCATGAGACAAATGAGGAGAAAATTTTTTTACCAAAGTAAGAACTGATTTACAAAATTATTCGCCCACAGAACAAGACATTAATATTTGAAAAGTATTTCATAAACAAAACTTGTAATAATTCTGGCATAGTTTCGGATGAAAGACCAAAGTATGTATAGTAGTAATAAACAACCCCAGCAGGCATCTGACGTTGAAACAACGTTGATTATTGGTTGATTTCAGGTTGAAATGTTGAACAACCAAAATTAAACGTCATATCAACGTCGAAATCTGACCAACACTAGAAGGGACGTGAAACAACCTTATTCCAATCAAATATCAAATAAATTTTTCTGGTGATCATAATTTTTTTATTTCATTCCCAAATCAGCAAATTACCGCGCGCCACCCTGTATATGGACCGGTGAAGGTCGATTATCTCTAAACACAAGTCTAAGACTGCCATTAGGTTCAGTAACATTTCAATCGAGAAAAGACACACTATTGTTAGATTTGAGCTCCATGTTAAATTTGATGGATTTAGATAGAAAGTGTTGGAAAACGAAGAAAAGGCTTACCATCAATGGAAGTCCATCAAGTTTACTATCTCTTTAACGAAAACCGATTATTCCCGGTAAAAGTACCAGCTTATTTAGCTTATCTTCGGTCGATTCATGTGGTTATGACGTATTATCCCATCCCATTCCCATCCCATTCGGTCGAATGGGATTTAAATCCTAATCAACCACGACTTGTGTATTTGTTCGACATTCCATGCTAAGCAAGCTGACTATTAATTTTTGTCAATATCTTCTTGCAAAATGAGTCTACCATTTACCAGGTATTTACCCAAACCAAGAAATTCATGTAGAAGTTACAGTATTTTGTGAGATTGTTTCAAAGCGCCAAAATAGGAACGTTGTTTCCTGCTCCTATCCCCTCTTTGACCTTCCATCAGAAACTAGGTGGAAAATTAAAAGTTTTGTCAATGGAATACTATTCAAATGTTAATCTTTATATTTTTCTGGTGAATAATTTTAAAATCGGTTCTTTCATTAGGTACAAAGGTACTCTTCCTATCCATATACAATCGTCTCTAGCTCATAAATACAGTTGTGCGTGATGAGCATCTGCGTACGTTTGTATGGCGTCACGCTGCGTCCTCACGCCGAACAGTGCAACGTTCAAATATCTGAATGACTTTCAGATTTTAGCTAACACTTCCGATGTTTCCGATTTCCAAATTTTGGAACTCCTTTATATGTTTTAACAG